GCAAATTCTACCAAACATTTAAAGAACAATTAATTCCAATACTATATAAACTATTTGGAAAAACAGGTGATACCAAATTCCTATTATGACACAAATGTGGTGCTAATACCCAAATCAGAAAGAGCCAAAACAGAGAAAAAAAAATTACAGACCAATTTCCCTAATGAATATAGATGCAAAAATTTTAAATAAAATATTAGCAAAGAGATTACAGCAATATATCACAAGGATCATACCCCATGACCAGGTGGGGTTTATACCAAGAATGCAGGGCTGGTTCAATACTAGGAAAACTATTAGCATCATCGACCATATCAATAACAAAACCAATAGAAATCATACGATTATCTCAATAGATGCAGGAAAAAAAGCCTTTGACAAAATACAGCACCCATTCCTATTAAAAACAATAAAGAGCATAGGAATAAATGGAATTTATCTTAAAATGATAAATAATAGAGAGGATTCTGGGAAGGTGGTGGAGTAGGTCAGAAAATTCAAGCTTTCAAGATTTTCCCCCACAAAAGAGATAAAATAGCATCTCAGGATGAACAAAGTTTGAGTAAAAATAAGTAATAATAGAGGCACAACAGGGGTCCTTCTGGGACAATCCACGAAGATCTGAAGGAAAGTCCCAGGATGAGGTTTGGTCCCTGTGAAGAGTAAACACCTCCAGGATAGGGTCCGCTAAAACAAATGGAAAGCCACTTCAACAAGTGGCTAGCCTTGGGGTTAGCCCCAGCCACAGGAACTTTTACCCCTGGGCCAGTGAGGGGGAGCTGGGCATCTGAGCTGGGGAAGATTGAGGGAGCCTCTGCTGACAAGGAACACCAGATCCAGCCGTGCTGCAGAGAGTGGTGGGGGAGTGGAGGCGGAGAGAAAGAACCAGCCTGGTGAGTGCAGAAGCAGTGAGGCAGGACCCTCCTGGTTGTGGGCTCTTTCAGGAGGCTGGAGGTTTGGCTTTGGTTCCAGGCTAGAGGAGAGAACTGAAGATCTGAGGCCAGAGGCACTGTTCATACCCCAGTACTATTGCTACAAAAAATGCACAGGCAAAGGAGAAAGAATCTTATCATAGAAAGTTATTATGGAAATAGAGAAGACCCACGTTCATCTTCAGAGGAGGATATTGAAGCAAAGAAACCCTCCTCTACCCCAAAGAGTAATGTCAAATGGTCATCTGACCAAAAAGAATTTATAGAACTTAAAAAAAAAGACTTTAAAAATCAAATGAGAGAAATTGAGGAAAAACTAAAAAAAAAAAGGAAAAGAAAAAAAATCCAAGAAAAATAAGATTATGAAAAGATAGTCAACCAATTAGAAATGGAGAGCCAGACTCTTTTTTTTTTTTGGTGAGGCAATTGGGGTTAAGTGACTTGCTTAGGGTCACACAGCTAGTGCTAGTATGTGTTATGTGTCTGAGGCCAGATTTGAATGTAGGTCCTCCTGACTCCAGGGCTGGTGCTTTATCCACTGCACCACCTAGCTGCCCCAGAGAGCCAGACTCTTAAAGAAGAAAATGATACCTTGAAAATTAGGATTAGGCAAGGTGAGGCCAATGAAGTTATAAGAGATCAAGAAGTAATTAAACAAAATATAAAGAATGAAAAAATAGAATAGAATGTGAAACATCTTATAAGACAAATCATATTTATCTAAAACCATCAGCAATGGGAATAAGCTAGGAGCCTTCCTAACACAATCAAAAATGAAGCAAAGATGCCCATCATCACCTCTATTATTTAACATTGTATTAGAAATGTTAGCTATTAGCAATAACAGAAGAAAAAGAAATTAAAGGAATTAGAATAGGCAATGAGGAAACAAAGCTATCACTCTTTGCAGATGATGGGATGTTATACTTACAAAATCCTAGAGAATCAACTTAAAAAATACTTGAAATTATTAACAACTTTAGCAAAATTGCAGGATGCAAAATAAACCCACATAAATCATCCGTGTTTCTATATACAACCAACGAAGTCCAGCAGCGAGAGATAGAAAGAGAAATTCCATTTAAAATAATGGCAGGCAATAAAAAGTACTTGGGAGTCTACCTGCTGAGAGAAACCCAGGAACAACATGAGCATAACTATAAAACTATAAAACTTTTCACACAAATAAAGTCAGATCTAAACAATTGGAAAAATATTAATTGCTCATGGGTAGGCTGAGCTAATACCATAAAAAAATGACTATTCTACCTAAAATAATCTATTTATTCAGTGCCATACCAATCAAACTATCAAAAATTGTTTTATAGTTCTAGAAAAAATAGTAAAATTCATCTGGAAGAACAAAAGCTCAAGGATATCAAGGGAATCAATGAAAAAAATGTGAAAGAAGGTGGTCTAGACATACAAATTAATTATCAAAACAATCTGGTATTGGCTCAGAAATAGGGTGGTGGATCAGTGGAACAAATTACATTATAGTAAATGACTATAGTAATCTAGTATATGATAAACCCAAAGATCCAAGCTTTTGGAACAAAAACTCACTATTTGACAAAAACTGCTGGGAAAACTGGAAAACAATGTGTCAGAAGCTGGGTATAGACCAACATCTCACACAGTACACCAAGACAAGGTCAAAATAGGTACATGATTTACACATAAAGAGTGATACCATAAGCAAATTAAGAGAGAAGAATTTAGGGCCAAAGAAGATATAGAAAGTAGTACAAAATACAAAATATGTAATTTTGATTATATAAAATTTAAAAGTTTTTGCACAAACAAAACCAACGCAATCAAAATTATAGGAAAAGCAGAAAACCAGGAAAACTTTTTTACAAGTATTACTGATAAAGGTCTTATTTCTCAAATACATACTCAAATTTATAAAAAAATATTTTTGCCTCATCATGAACCAACCCTGAGTAGAAAATAGAGATTCATTGGAGTGTCCCAAGGAGGAAGCATTCCCATAACCACTGGAAATAATCTTTTGTTTGGAGCATGGGGCTGTGGGACCTATATGTTTAAAAAATGCTAAACAACAAATAAAGTTTCAAAAGGCTGGGGGCACTTTGGCTTAAAATACTCGTAACAGTGTTAGTGGAGGTGCCTGAGTAAGTGAATCTCTCCACAAGCAATGTGTTAGAGAGCTGGTCCCCTATAGAAGGTTTAACAAATATCATCTCTAGGAAGTGAGCCAATGTTGAGGAAAATGGTAGTGAAGCATTAACAGTGAGGAGGAACTGGAGAAGAGCAAGTTGATGCAGACAAAGGAGTCCTAATGTGGAGAAAACCATAGTTCCATTCTCCCAAAGCTGCTTGGTCAGTCACAGAGACTATACAGGTAGGGTGAGTGGCCCCACTGAGGATGTTGTCTTTTGACTCTGCATGCTTAGATGCAAGTCCCTTTCACAACTTAATTTGTAAACAAAATTGTTCTGTTACTGAACCTGGTGAACTCAGATGCTTACAAGGGGAGTGCCACCAGGATGGTAGGAATGATCTGGAGAAGTGAGAAATCCCCTTCATGTTATAAGGAAGCTTCAGAAACAAGAGCTATACTTAAAAGACATCGTAGACATTGATTCAGGTAATTGATGTCAGGGTTAGACTTGCATTTCTTAGTGCTTCCTTTGCCCTGCTTTTTATATTCTTAATATCAAGATGAAATGGTTTTTAATTTTTATTTATTTATTTTATTTACTTGTTTATTTGGTTATTGGTGAGGCAACTGGGTTTAAGTGACTTGCTCAGAGTCACACAGCTAATGAGTGTTATGTGTCTGAGGCCGGATTTGAACTCAGGTACTCCTGACTTCAGGGCCGGTGCTGTATCCGCTGCGCCACCTAGCTGCCCCGGTTTTTAATTTTTAAAAAATGTCTTTTCACAAGTTTAGTTTTTTGGTGGCCAGTACCTTGGGCTTTCTGAATTGGGAAATTGGAGGTGGAAGAGACTTGCCTACCCAGAGTTTCTAGTTTCTTTTCCAATACATGGTGAGTGTGATATCCTGGAGTTTCTAGTTTCTTTTCCAATACATGACAAGTGTGATAATGTAACAATAATAATCATAGCTAGCATTTAAATAGCAGCTATTATGTACTAGGCACTGTGCTAAGCATTTGACAAATATCTCAGTTGATCCTCACAACAACTCTGGGAGGTAGGTACTATTATTATCCTCATTTTACATTTGGGGAAACTGAGGCAGATAGAGATTAAGTGATTTGACCAAAGTCATGTAGCTAGTAAGCGTCTGAGGTCAGATGTAGGTCCAGGTCTTCCTGATTCTAGGCCCACTACCGACTGTGTCACCTAAATAACTAATTTGTTTAATTGGTTTGTCTTTGAGAATCTGTCAATAGGTTTATTTCCCTTGATCTTCTCAGAATATCCAAGTAAGAAAATTCTCCTAGACCCCAACTCTCAGAGGAAGGCACTATATTCAGATGGATTGCACAACCTACACACAAGCTTTTGTGGACTTGGGGAGGCTATTTGGGGTGATTTCCTCACTAATTTGATGGTTTACAAAATATATGTTTAATCCATGAATTAAAACTGTATAAGTAAAGTGGTACCTCATCCCCACATTTCCTCTCGATTAGCAGAGTACATGGTAGTTGAGGCTCAACAAACATTTCAGTTCAAGCCACGGTGAAGTAATATCACTGAAGCCAGAGTAGCTTTAAATCAAATCCAGTCTTGTTTAAATACATAACTATACCAAGAGGTTGCCAACAAAACCAAAGAAGCAATAATCAGAAAGGCTAGGGAAGTGGGCAAACCAACAATTCTATAGACATAATAACTTCCTAATTTCTAGGCTGCCCTCCCTCAAAGGCCTGGCATATCACCTTTGGTCAGTTTTGGAATTCTCTACTTCCTTCTTGCTGAAGCAAAAGAACTTTTGACTCTTTTTGAGTAATTCCTCTCATTGATGGAACTGAATAAGCCCATAGACATTTCATTAAGTTTTAAGGTTTCTATCACCCACAAAACATCATCCTGCCCAAAATACAGAGCCAACACTTATGATTTTCTTACCCCTTTAATTAAGGTAGTTTAAATCTCAGCAGCTCTTTTGAATGGATTTTTTTACATATATATTTTTTTCGCTGGCAGCACTCAACATCACAGCATTGAAGGTGGTGGAGAAAAGGAGGGCCTGGAAAAGAACAAGGCACCCAGATAAGTGCGTTGGCAGTATGGCTCATTGCTTGTTCAACTTCAGAAATCCAAGTACTTTTAGCATGAAAATCTATTCAGACCAGTTGGGTTTTTTTGAAGGTTCAAAAACCTTCAACCATGGTTTTTAGCAAATCCTTAAAAGAATATGTTTGACAAACTGTTTAAACAAAACAGAAAATTTTCCTAAATTTTTGGTTCCAAAAGAGCTTACTTAGTTCATACTCTGGAAAACTCTAGCCCAACATTTCATTAATGTTGACCTGCCTGAAAACTCTTTCAAGCCATAGTGGAGTGATTATGCAAGTGTGATCTATGGAGCATTTTGGGGGGAAGTGGAAAAGTGTCATGTACTGATCTAGGTGGCAAGTGTTGGTTGTTCTCTTGTTGTCAGAGTGAGGTTTCACGCCAGCAAATGGACAAAGGAGAAAAGATGGGGGTTGTTTATCGAGTGGCTTTTTCTTCTGGAAGTCCCCCAACCACAGCTTGAGAGCTCTGGGCAGAGTTACCATGCCACTGCCTCTGCCAGCTAGGATAAGAAGTGAGCCAGTTGGATTTTACCACTTCTTTGGCTTTGGTTGGAGGTATGAGAGGCCACCTGCTGGCTCAGTGAAGGAGGAGGTAAAGTAAAAGGTGCTTACAAATGCTTGTCGAAGAAAATAATATCTGACATTCTCTTGTCACTGCCTATCCTGCCAAATTCCCATTCAACAAGGGTCTTTTGCTTTCCTCTTTTATTTCCATTCTACCTGGAGAAAGTCAAGCATCAGGTAGCTAAGAGTATGGTGGTTCAAAAAGTACTGCCCCTGGGAAAATGCTTTTGGTGATGGAAAGAAAGATTGAATAGAATGAGAGATAAATGGTCCATTAGATCTTCTGGCTCATTGAAGAGGTTTATGGACTATGAACAGTCAGAAAAACAATACTGTAGGTACCATTTACTGCACTGTAGCAGAATTTTTTAAAAATTTGATTTAGTTTTTCATTTAATAAGTATTTCTTTTCCCTTTCCCAATTGAAAAGATAAAAAGAAAAACAATTGAAACAAATCTGAATAGTCAAGCAAAACATGTCCAAATATTTATGTCTAATTTTGTATCATTAGTTTATTCACTTCTCTGTCAGGAAAGGGATAAAATATATCATTTTTGGTTCTCTGGAATCATGATTGGCTATTGAATTGATAACAGTTCTCAAGTCTTTTAAGTTGCCAAAGCGTCATTTCACTCAATGGTGCACAATGGCCTTAGTTTTCCAGGGTTCCTAAAAACCTAACTTTCTCTCAAGGAGTAATTATTTAAGCTCAAAGGGAAACTAAGAATACTGTTTATTCTTAAAGGGTTTTTTTTTGGATAAAATTATCTTCATATTCCCTCTTTCCTTTCATACTTATAGGAAGAATCATCCCTCCTTGTTGCCAAGGATAACTCCTCCATCTTACTGCTGTTCTTTGCTGCCTCCCCCAGCTTAGTGCTCCATCAATTATACCCTGTTTATTTTGTGCACCTCTAAATTCTCCCTTGTACTTGTACCTTTTTTTTTTACAAACATAATCTGATCTTCTTCAGTCTTCTACTCCATCTCAAGATACTTTCATCTCTTTCCTTCTCTACACTGACAATCTCTGAGTTGTTCTCATTCAAAGCCTCCGCTTTCCTATCATTCACTAAACTTCTTAATTACTTGCATTCTGACTGACCTCTGCTACTCTGCTGGAACTTGGATGTTCTCAGTGATCTCCTAACTGATAAATCCAGTGACCTTTTCTCAGTCTTCATCTTCCTCATGATCTCTGTAGCATCTGAACTTGTTTGTCACCTCTTGCTGTATTCCCCTATCTTGGTTTTAGAGATATTGTACACCTGTTGTTCTACCTTTCTGATTGATTCTGTATTTCTTTTGTTGGCTCTTTTTCATACTTTCCCTAAATGTAGGTATTGGCACAAACCAGTTTTCTTGACTTTTAAATTTCTGTTAATGCCAATACAATTCTCAATCACTCAGGCTCCAAACTTGAGAAGAAAAATCCTTCTTCTCCCTGGTCTCTAGATTCCAATCTGTAGCTATGTTCTTAAATTCTACCTTTACAATGGCTTTCATGTCCACTTCCTACTTTCCATTTCCATGACTACTACCTTAGTTCTGACCTTAATACCTCTTGCCTAAATTATTGAAAATTTTTTTTTCAAATTTCAATAATGCTTTATTAAAGACAGATTAATGTGCAGTTTGTGCAGTTTGCGTGTGTGTGTGTGTTTTACAATTATCAAAGAACAAATCAGTCATTTTATATAAACTTTCAAACCTCTAAAAGGGTTGTGAAGCAGGACAAAGTGCTGTCTTATCTTTACAAAAGAAATAGGAAGATTTTCAAGTGTCTGCTGCACATTTTAAAGTAGTCTTCATAATTCTACATACGTACATTGATGGTCTTAAGTTCTGTTAGATGGGCTAACAGGCTATGGGTCCTCACTGGGTTCCATTTCCATTGCATCATCATCAAACTTAGAATCAAGTCCACATGGGGATTTAGCCTCCTGCTGATTGAGATATCTATAATCGTGCACTCTTCAGTGTCTGCCTGGAATCCATCTATTTCCACAGTTTCAACTTGCTCATCACACCTTGGCTTCTTCACCACATGAGTGTTGGACATACTGCCTGTGTTCTTTCTCTTTAGTGAGACTGGGGTAATCTGGGCGGGCCTTAGGCTTAGCCCACTGCCATTGTCCTATCTACTAGCAGATGGGACCTGAGTGATGTAGTTCCATTGTCAAGGCACAAGTAAGTGTTCTTGGTCAAAGCTCTTGAGCACTTCCAAGTGAACATACCAACATATCCTAAAATCTGGTCTCTTCTCATACACTGAGTTCTCAGAAATAACCCACTTTACTCTAGCTTTGGAAGGTATAGCAGCATCCTTATTAGCAGTTGGACTCTGTGGCCAGGAGGTACTTGTAAGGCCAGCTGTGCCACTAGCAGAACCATTAGTACCTTTACTGAACAATCCTTGAATGATCACTTGACTTCTATTCACATTCCCATGCAATGATGCACTTAAAAAAATCTCTTTTGTTACTGATGCCTTTTGTTTTTTTACATCACTTTTTTCCCCCCTTCAAAATCTATCCTTCCTGGTTGTAGGAAAACAAGTACTTAAATAAGGCACTGTTGGTGAAACTGTGAACTAGTTCAGCTATTCTGGAAAGCAATTTGGAACTATGTCTCCAAAGCTATTAAACTATGCATAGCCAGCAATACTACTACTACTAGGATTATACCCCAAAGAGTTCAAAGAAATAGGAGAGGACGATATATACAAAAATATTTATAGAAGCTCTTTTTGTAGTGGTCAAGAATTGGAAACTGAGGGGATGCTCATCAATTGGGGAATGGCTGAACAAGTTATGTTATATGAAGGTATGGAATACCAGTGTGCTGTAAGAAATTACGAAGGGTATGGTTTCAGAAAAATACGAGGAGGCTTGTATTAATTGATACAGAGTGAAGTGACCAGAATCAGGAGAACAATTTATACAACAGTAGCCATATTGTAATCAACTTTGAGAACTTAGTAACTCTGACCAACGCAATGACCTACCATAATTCTAGAGGACTCATGGCGAAATATGTTATCCACTTCCAGATAGAGAACTGATGGACTTATAGTGTATATTGGAGCACATTTTATTCTCTTTATTTTTCCTGGGTTTTTTTTAATGTAGCAAATGCAAGAATTTGTTTTGCATGACTATACAGATTTATAATGGATTTTATTTTTCTTGCCTCCTCAGTGGGTGGAGGGGGAGGAGAAAATCCAGAACTAAAAATAAAATAAAATTGAACTAGAACTAGGAAAAGAAAATCAACAAAATATGCCCCTCGTGCTGGGCATGTAATCCTTCCTGCCACAGAGATTGAGACTTGATCGATCACTTCAGCTTGGCAGTTTTGAGCTGCAATGTGCTAGGTCAAATGGTGAATGTACTAAATCTAGCACCAATATGGGGAATTCCTGGGAGTGTGGGGGCCACCAGGCTGCCTAAGGAGGAGTGAACTAACCCAGATTGGAAATGGAGTAGGTCAAAGATCCTTTGTTAATCATTAGTGGGATAGGGCTGTAGATAAACCTGTAATTTCAATGGCATAGGAACCTCTCAGGTGAGAGAGATCCTTCTACAGTACTAATGCAACCCTTTTCAGAAACTTAAGAGTCCTGAAATATTTCTGAAATCATAGAGAGGTTAGGTACCTTGTTGAGGGTCACATCACCATCACATGTTACTTGAACTCAGGTCTTCTTGGCTTCAAGACAGTTCTCTATGCATGATGCGGTTGCTTCTCTATCTAAAGAGTGTTCAGAAAATTGCTGTTGATTGATCCCGTCATTATTGCTCTAGTCACAGTATCCTCCCACCTTATTGTCATGACTTATTCTTATCCCCATGCCATCCCTGCCCATGCTTGTCATTGTTTCTACCTTGGCACCCACTTTCAAATGGGCATTTTCTTTGCTACTGTGAACCCACAAGAAGAATGCTGTAAGTGACAAAATGTTACCTTTAAAACAACTCAGTCTTTACTCCTTCCCTCAGGAAAAGGAAACCGGGTAGGTTTAGGAGATTCCTCCACTTGTTGATGGCACCTGAAGGGTAATAGGGGTAATAGTGCCTATTCACATAATCCAATAGGATGCAAAAATACATATATCCATATCTTGCTAGGGTGGATGGTAACCTCTCAGGCTTTTTTCTATGTAATGACCTCCTATTAAATACAGAGAATTTAAAAAGGAACAAGTTATTAAAAAATCTCTTGGCACAGTTCTTGCATTTATCAGACCCAAAGAGGAACAGGAAAGACAGCACAAAATAGTGAATACAGAGCTGGCTTTGAGTTCAGGAAGACCTAGGATCAAGTGCTACCTCTGAAACATGCTGACTGTGTGACCCTGAGCAAGTCACTCAATGTCTCAGTCCTCTATAAGACTATAAAGTTGCAGAGAGGGTGCTGACCTGCATTAGTAGGGTGAGATTTCTTACTCTGGAGTTCAGTGTAACAGTGAAATCCCTGGTATAGTTCCTTTCCTTTAAGGAGACACAAAGTAGAGAAAGAAGAAAGAAAGAAAGAAAGAAAGAAAGAAAGAAAGAAAGAAAGAAAGAAAGAAAGAAAGAAAGAAAGAAAGAAAGAAAGAAAGAAAGAAAGAAAGAAAGAAAGAAAAAGGGAAGGAAGAAAGGAAAGAAAGAAGGAAGGAAAGAAGTAAAGGACAGAAGGGAGGAAGGAAAGAAATAAAGGAAGGGAGAAGGAAGAAAAGGAAGGAAGAAAGAAGAAAGGAAAGAAAGAAAGAAAAGAAAAGAAAGAAAAAAGAAAAATAAAGAAACAAAGGAAGAAAGGAAGGAAAGAAAGAGAGAAAAAGAAAGGAAGGAAGAAATAGCATACTATTATTTTGAGGGACTGGGTGAGGGTTGGTTTCAAGTGATTTCACTGGTATATTGAATTCCCAGGATAGAATCTCCCTCTATTCATGCAGACTCACAACTGTTTTCAACTTTAAATGTTGCTGAGTAACCTAAAATAGAAGTTAAATGACTTGTCCATGATCACATATTGAGTATATGTCAGAAGTAGAACTTGAACCCAGCTCTGCTAGACTCCAAGTCTGGCCCCTGATGCACTATGCTACTCTAACGTCATGTCAGTCTTACTGAAAATAAATAGTTACTTTTCCTGAATGAGTGCCTGGGTAGTGATGTTACTACTCTTATGGCTTTATGGTTTGCAATGTGCTCTACATACTTCTCTAGAGATCACTGGCTTGAGTCAGAGAATTTGCATTCAGATCTCACCTATGATGCTTGCTTACTTCTATGACCTTGGGAAAAATCACTTAACATCATTGGTACTGTTTTCCCATTTGTAGAATGAGGAGTTTGTACTACATGGCCTCTCAGGTACCTTCTGGCTTTGTATCTATGGTCTTATGAGCCTATGATTGTCACAAAGCTTCGTGAAGCAGGCTGTACAGGTATTATTATTTCCTTTTTGCAGATGAGGAAACTAGGGAAAGAAAGTTATGTCTGTCAATAGCTAATTCTTTATTATCTGGCTCAGGGAGATCAATGGAGATTGGGGTCTTCTTACTTTTCCCTTCATAATCTGGGACACTTTGGGTTGTTGTCAGTAGGACAAAGGAGGTGACCAGGCCAGTGATATATGGATGCTTGTGCAAGTCTCTGAGTGTGTGTTTCTAATCATATTCCAAAGCAAAGACCTCCAAGACAATTTGGAGGCTGCCTTATGTTTTCTAGGATTATCTCTCCTAGATGAAGCAGGTAGGTGGTTCAGTGGGTAGAATGCTATGCCTGGAGTCAGCAGACCTGTGTTCAAATCCATCCTCAGACTGTGTGACCTTGTACAAGGCACTTAATATATCTCAACCTCAGTTTCTTCATCTATAAAATAGGATAATAATAGTACCAATCTCCCACGATTATTGTGAGGATCAGATGATACAATATCTGTAATGTGCTTAGCACAGTGCCTGGTACATGGTAGGTACTTAATAAATGCTTCCTTTCCCCTGACTTGATCATATATAGGCAGTGCTGGGAAGAACTAGTGATTGTAGAGACAGGAAGGAAAAAGTTTTTGTTTCTTCTTGTCGTTTTTTAACCTTAGGGTTTTTAAAGAATTATGTTGTTTTTTTAAAATCAGCAAAAATTTACCTTTTCTTCCCTTTTCCCCCTCCAATTGAGAATGAAAGAAAAACAAAACTCCTGTTACAAACATGCCTAGTCAAACAAAACAAACTTCTATGTTGGCCATGTCCAAAAAAAAAAAAGTCTTAGTCTCCATTCTGAGTCTTTCTCCTCTCTAACAGGAAGTGGGTAATATGTTTCATCATTTGTGTTCTGAAATCATGGCTAGTAATTATTACTGATGAGAGTCCCTAATTTTTTCAGTTGTTTGTCCTTACTATATTGTTGTCATATAAACTGTCCTCCTGATTCTTTTCACACCATTCTGTATCAGTTTATGCAAGTCTTCCCAGATTTATTTGAAACTATCTCCATAATTTCTATTTATTTATTTGGTGAGGCAATTGGGGTTAAGTGACTTGCCCAGAGTCACACAGCTAGTGAGTGTTGTGTCTGAAGCTGTATTTGAACTCAGGTTCTTCTGACTCCAGGGCCAGTGCTCTATCCACTGTACCACCTAGCTGCCCCTCCATAATTTCTTATAGCACAATATTCTTCCATTCATTTATATATACACCACAAATTGTTCAGCCATTCTGCAATTGATGAGTATCCCCTCAGATTATTATTCTTTGCCACCTCAGAAAGAGCTATAAATATTTTCCTACATCCTAAGTTAGGGTTTAGGGCAAATCCCTCCCTTAATCTACTCTCCCTCTAACTTTCCTTTTTCCTTCTTTCCTTCTATTTCTCTGTTGAGCAAAATGTATTTCTACATCCAAATATGTGTGTATTCTTTCCTTCTTTGATCAGTTCAGATGATAATGAGGTTCAAGTGTCAGGAATTCCCTTCCACCCCTTCATCCATGATAATATAGTTGTCTACTTATGCACCTTGATTATGTGGGGTAATTTTCTCTAATCTTCCTTTTCTCCATCCCACTCCCACCTCTGAGTATATTTCTCTTCACCTCTTTTTCCATTCTTCTCTTACAGTCATCAAGAGATAACAGAACCACTCTCAGGCCTTGTTGAATTAGACTCCCCTCCATTACTCTGGATGATGCTAGGGTTGAGAGGGGACGCTTGTATCATCTTCCCATATTTGAGTGTAAGCATTTTACCCTTGTTTAGTCCGTTATCATTGTTCATTAATTAATGCTTGCCATTTTATATTTCCCAGATGCTTGTGTTTGAATTTCAAAGTTTCTATGCAGCCCTGGTCTTTTCATCAGGAATGCTTAGAAGTCTTCTCTTTCAGCAAAAATCCTTTTTTTTTCCTCTGTAGGATTGTCCTCAGTTTTGCTGGGTAAGTTGTTCTTGGCAGTAAGCCTATTTATCCGTTGTCTTTTAAAATGTGATATTCCAAGCTCTCTACTACTTTATGCTAAATCATATGTGATCTTGACCGTTATTCCTTGGTACTTGAATTCTTTCTTTCTGGCTGCTTACAATATTTTTTCTTTGACCTGGAAGCTCTGGATTTTGGCTATAATGTTCCTGGGAATTTTCATTTGGGTATTTCTTTCAGGAAGTTAACAGGTGATTCTATTTCTACTTTGCCCTCTGTTTCTAAAAGATCTGTGTAGCTTTCTTTTAATATTCCTTTTAATTGTATGTCTAGGCTTTTGTTTGTTTTTTTGTTTTTAGTCATGGCATTCAGATAGTTCAGTAATTCTTAAACCTTTTCTCCTTGGTCTAGTTTCTAGATCAATTGTTTTCACTATGCGATACCACACATTTTCTTCCATTTTTTCAGTTTTTGGTCTTCATTGCAGTCATTAGCTTCAATCTGGTCAATTCTAATTCTTAAGGAGTTATTTACTTGGGTAAGATTTTATACGTCTTGTACTAGCTGTTAATTTCATTTCCAACTCTTTTTTCTGTATTTCCCGTTTCTTTTCCATTCCTCCTCTCTAGTGTTCTCGTTTCATTTATAAAAACATATTAAACTCTTAAAAAAAAAAACCTCTTACTTCATCTCTTCCAGAAATTTTAGTTGAATTTCTACTCAAGCTGTATTTTTCTTCTAAAATTTACTTCTAGGGGCAGCTAGGTGGCACAGTGGATAGAGCACCAGCCCTGAAGTCAGGAGGATCTGTGTTCAAATCTGGCCTCAGACCAAATACTTGACACTTCCTAGCTGTGTGACCCTGGGCAAGTCACTTAACCCCAAATGCCTAAAAAGTAAAAAAAAAATTGCTTCTAAATGCTTTGGATTTGTTCTCTTCTGGGTTTTCATCTTGAACTTCCCTATCACCATAATTGTTCATATTGGTGAGATTTTTTTGTTTGTTTGCTCATTCTTTCAGCCTGCTTCTTGACTTTGGCCTTAATATTAGGGCTGGGCTCTGCACAGTTCTGGAGGAAGATTCTGTTGCTGTTTCCTGGGATACTGAGTGCTTTGTTATTCTAGGAGCTCAGGGACAGCTCAGACTTGAGATCTGCAGGCTTTCAGTGCTCCCAGTGTGGTCTGATCCCAGGTAAAACTGCCCTCCTGATCTGAGCTTTGCAAGTTCTTGACCTGGGTTTGGATCTGAGCAACAGTAGATTTTTGTTGGACTCAGCCGGTGTCAGCCAGCTGGAAAGATCTGTGGGTTTAGAGCGACAGAACTATAGGTTCCCCTTTTGCCTGAGATTCCTTCCATGGTTTTTCTTCCACAGGTTTCAGATCGGGTTAGAAGCTGAAGCTGAAATTGAGTCCCTGATACGCTCCTGGGGTCTAAGACATGCCGCTGCTGCATGCTTCTAAATTTGTTCTTTTCTTGGTATGCTATTTAGGACCTGCCACCATTCAATCTGGAGTGCTACCTCGAGGTGTAGATCCCCAACTCAGTCCAGCCTAGACTGGAGACCTAGAACTGGGTAGTCGATGACAAAGCTTCCAGAGGGCATCCATTCCCATTGAGGTGCCCTGTTATAGATCTAGGGTTTTCTTTTGCCCCAGTGCACATGCTTTCTCTGGGCACTGGAATACTCCTTGATGCTCCTGGACAGACTCACTCCCCAGTCTCCATAGTCCTCTCTGTTTCTGTATGCTGATCTGGGCTGGAAAAATGACTTGTGAATTTTTCTGGATTTCCCCATTAGGGTTCCATCTGTGCATTTTCTAGATTTCTGTGGTTTTTGTGATAGGGTCAGGTTCTCACTGTACTGCTTCTTGCTACTCTACCACCTTGGCTCTTGTTATTTAACTGTTTAACTGTTCTGAACTCTTAAATCAGGTTAACTCTTAGAGGATAAATTATTCCCTAAAATCTTCACTGAAAATAGTCCATGGTTTGTGTTGTGCTCCTTTGTGGTGATATCAGAAGGGGAACAGAATATGTATAACAAAAGGGCTCTAATTTAGATCAGAATTTGAACCCAGAATTTATCAAATGTATCCACTGACATGTATTACTTGTATTAGTCAGATAGCTTGCTTGGGTTTCCATTTTTTCGGTTATAAAATGAAGAGGTTAGACTAAATGACCTCTAAGGTCCATTCTAACTCTGCATCTATGTTCTTACAATCATGCAATTAACATCTGAAGGGTAGAGAAGAAAAATGGGTTTAGCTTAATTTTTTTCAAGTTAAAATGTTTGTGACAGTTTTTTAAACTTAAAAAATCAGGCTATTTTTGTACCTTTATTTTTCATACAGAGAGACTTGGGAGAGAGACCAGGTTGTGACGTCTTGCCAGAAGACATGAGTCAGAGAGCAAGAGCCTGTCAGAATTCTCTAACCAGCACAACCCAGACCTGCCCTTTGAACCCTCCTTAGAACTGTTAACTGCTTTTCTTCTTCTGAAACCTGCTATTAGTTGCTAAACTCTAAACTGCCTTATCCTTTGATGGCTCCCGTTATTTTTCAGTCCAACTGTCATCTAGCTTATGTTCAGAAACCCATCTTAATTTTTCAGGTCTTATCATACCTTCTATCATAGATCTCCCCAGCTGACAGGTACTGTGGGAATCCATTAATGAAATTTTTATCTAGGATTTCTATTTTTGTACTGCCCAGATCCACTGGATTACTTCCCCCCCTCCCCCACCAGGATTGGACAGCATGCTTTGTTTTTAAACATGCTAGACTTTTAAAATAATTATTATTGGTAATTTGTCAAATTTATATTGGTAATTATATTGGTAATATGTCAAGTTTTTATTGATATGTCATTACCTCTTTTTTTGGGGGGGCTAGGCAATAGGGTTAAGTGACTTGCCCAGAGTCACACAGCTAGTAAGTGTTAACTGTCTGAGGCTGGATTTGAACTCTGGTCCTCCTGAATCCAGGACCAGTACTCTATTCACTGTGCCACCTAGCTGCCCCAGTATCATTACCCTTTTCTATGGTGATTGAGTGGTTAATTAACAAGGAGGAAAAAAATGGATATAAAATCTCTGGAACACTTACATGCCTCAATGCACTTGGAATTACCCAGGAGACTATTAGTTAAAGGAGTGCCTCATTACCTTCAAGATAAAGATGTTGAAAGGGCCCTGCGAGATGCTGTTGATATTTTAGAAAGTTGTAAAATGCTTACTAAACAATATGAAGAGTCAGACAAAACCTTGTCTGTTTTTTGTAAATTATCAGAACAAGTAAAATATCTGATGAGATAAAAATTGGGAAGAATAACTTTTAGAAACTAGTTACAAAGCCCCTAACCAAGGAAGAGGAGATAGAAAGAAAGCTCCACACCATACCCCAGCAGAAAGGTTTGTCTGAAGATGTTGTGTGAGGCATGAATGGGGATGAGACTACTCCAGAGGATGGAGGGGAGGCTGGATACAACCTGGGGGAACAACTTCATTATTCTAAATTATAAAGGTTCTCAGGTTATGCCATCCTGAAGTGGAAGCATTTGAGTCCTGGAGAGAACATGCCACCAACACAGTACAAAAGTGGAAGGCTTCCCTTGCCTGCAGGGAAGCAGAGAAGACTCATAGAAAGTCTTAAGGAACCAATATTTGCAAACCAATATTTGCTGTAGTACACGGTTTGAAATTACAAAATTACAAAACCTTGATGTGCTGGACTGTTTGTAAGTGTTCTCAAAACAATTTGGCAGTATAGAAATTCCACAGCAAGTCTGTGTTCAGTACCTTACCACTTTTCAGCAGAAAGGGGTGGAATGGAGTTCTTGATGCTTTGTACGGATAGACTGTTGCAGAGGTCAGTAGTCAAGTGGGCAGTAAAACCCAGAGAAGTAGATGCTATCAGACTATCTCAAGCAAGCCCTGGATGGCTAGATAAAGGAAGGTTCCAAATGCACATGATTGGACTGGAGAGAAGGAAGAAGATGATTGGATATGGGGAGCTCCTTGAGACAGTGAAACTATTTGAGGAAAGACTTGAACACAGAAAGAAAATTTTGCAGCAGAAAAAAAACACTTTCCCAAAAGTGTTGAGAAAGAAATGCCTTCTAAAGTACAGCTTGTGGGACAAAGGTGGGAGAATACCCCTAATCCCATCTTTCAAGGCGGAAGTATCTGCCAAGTCAGTCTTCTGGCAAATTGAACCCTGGTCAGAAACACTTCTCCTAGAAAAGATAAAGAATGGGACCAAACATCCCAGTAGATCATTATTATGACACCACTGGCTGAGCAAAAATGGAGAAATAGAGTTGTATTTTGTTACAGCTGCGAGCTAGATGGACATGTGAATTCAGTACATACAAGAAAGGCAAATGCAGAACTGGTAAGGCAGAAGTTGACGTTCCAAAGACCACCTTCAGGAAACAAAGATGGGACTGAAGGTCAGGGGCACCTCAGACTCAGAAGACTCTAAGACTGAATCATTCACTAGTCATGTCCATGTTTCTCTTATCAGAGACTGCCAGTAAACTTTGTTTTGGTGAAGCAATTCTTGCCTCAGTTGTCCTTGAATTACTAGTGGTGGAGGCAGCCTCATGATATTAGATGAAGAGAAGTGATATAAACCATGAGGCATGGGCATAATACTCTGGGACTCAAGTTTCATTCCCAATAGGGCCCTTTTCTATTGAGAAAATGGCAGAAATTGGATCCCTGATAGAGTACCATTACATATTCTATCAGATTATAACTGATTTTATACCATGAAGCAGTTTGTGGTACCTGGGGTATTTTACTCTACTGCTATGAAAACTTTACATGATGGCATTGGATACTTGGGCCAAGAGGAAACAAAATAGATTCTGCTATCCCAAAATGGTGCACCTATCTATAAGAAGGGTGAAACTTGTTCTTTATGCTATTCCAAGTGTTGAACCAACTCATGTTGCATACTTAGAAAATATGTAATGTGAGTCTCTGGAGAGAGAAAACACACAAGAAACACGTATGTGTTACATTTGATTTGTCTGTTTTGTTACGCAATGTACTTTATTTCATTGATATGTGTTTTGATGTATAATGTGCAGTTATGATTGGACTATTGCTACAAGTGCACTGCCGTGTGTTACATGGGATATGCATTTTGGTTTAAATATTTGCACTGTTGTATACGCTTTTGATGATGTGTTGTTTATTAGAAGTGCTTATGTTACTAATACCAATATAATGGGATTATATATATATATATATATATTATATATAGTTATAATGAACACATGTAAATATGTTGTGATTTCTGATGCTACGTGTAATGTTAATGATGTATGTTATAAATGTTTAAGTGTGTCCCTATGTAATTTGCAGTAATTACTTTTTAACTGAGAAAAGAATGTAAAGAGACCTGGGAGATACCAGGCTGTATACTGTTACTAAACTGGGGAAATTGGGACAAAGGTCAACCTCCTTTCAGCCATCTCAGGCCAATACAGCATTTGTTATTTTGAAAAACAAAACAAACAAACTAAAAACAAAAACAAAGGGGATGCTGGGATAAGGTTAGAAGTTTCCTTAGCAAAGTGTCTTTCAATCCCTTTTCCTTTTGAGGAAGTAGAGCTCTTGGGACATTTACTGCAACCAAAGAATATCATAAGACCTGGGGACAAAAATGGACTGTAAATTAAGTGACAGATGACAGGAGATGACAAAGTAGGTCAGAGAAGATTTCAGAAAAAGAGAAACAGTTAATAGAAGAGTTCAAAAGAAGGAACTGATTTCCATCTAGGCCAGAGGTTCTTAACCTAGGGTTCACGGATAGATTTCAAGAAGTTCTGTGAACTTGGATGGGGGAGAATTACATCTTTATTCCAACACAATTGGTTTTTTTTGTAATGTAATATTTTATGTTATGAATTTAAAAAGTTATTCTGAGATAGGACTCATAGGCTTCATCAGAGTGCCAAAGAGATCAATGACATGCAAAAAAAAAAATTTAATAATCCTTGGTCTGTTTCTGCCCACCCATCCTCTCTTTCCTGTCCTTCATGTTACTTACTTCTGTGATCATTTTTATGCGAATCCTTCCAGGAACTGAAAATTCTAATATCACTTATGAGTTTGTATAGTTTTTATTTTTAGTCTTTACCTCTACATATGTGAATTTTGAAATTATGACCCGTCAGTCATGTCTAAATAGTCAATTCTGTGAACGTTGAAATACTTTGACATTCTTGTGAGATATGCTATTCTTGCATCTCTGTAAGTGGCTGTAAATTGTGTGCATATACCTTATATTTATGTTATCTAGCTGACTTTTATTTGGACTGTTAAAATTCAAAATTTAAAGTGCTTATGGAAAAAAAAATAATCTTGGTCTAGACTTCTGTACCTTCTGGTGCAATCTGCCTGAGGGAAGAGTTTCTAAGACTGACTAATGAAAGCTTCACAGATATTGGCCAAGGAAGCTGACATACTAACCAAAGCACTTCCAATAGATAAAGGACAAAATTGACTCTGGGGATGAGACCCTAGCCTAAGGTACAGGAGGCTGAGAAAGTAGGCTGAAGGAGTAGGCTGAAAGAGCCATAACTTCCCTTTGCAAGGGAGAGGCTTGTTACATTTCCAATGGATGGTGGAGGTGGCTGAAAGAGCTGGCTCATAGACTAGTTGGTTGCAAAGATATGATACCTTCCTGGGAGCAGGGGGGACTCTGGACTGGAAGCAGCTATAATACAAAGGCTGGTGAGGAGCAGCAGAGACCAATGCCTGATGGGAAACGGTGAAGAAACATATGTATGCAGGGAGTAGGGAGCAACCATGAGGAACAGGTGAGAGGGCCTGGTAGCTGTAGCTTTTTTGATGCCACAAGTGGGAATTGTTCTTCCATGTGTATGCCCTGGTCACATATATTCCCCATGTATGCATCCATCTCTTCATACAGGTGCCCTGGCTTATATGCATGACATGTATTTGGATCTTTCATTCATAATTTTTTTAGAAATGTCCACTCTTCCTACTATGTGTACATTTTATTTTGTGCTTGTTTAAGAAAATGACCTATTAGGCTGTGGGAAGGGACAACTTTTTCTTTTCTTTTTTAGGCTATTGGGGTTAAGTGACTTGCCCTGGGGTCACACAGCTAGTAAGTGTTAAGTGTTGGGTCTGAGGCCGGATTTGAACTCAGGTCCTTCTGACCTCAGGGCCTGTGCTCTATCCACTGCGCCACCTAGCTGCGCCAGGAAGGGGCAACTTCTGCCAGGGTCAGGGTCAAGCTTCCCCAGCTGAGGACTGCAGGGAAGGTTGCCTGCACATGTGACAAAATTAGGGGAAGGAGGGACCCAGAAACACCCAGTTTCTAGAGGCTGGTTGGGTGGGGATGAAGAAAGCCCAGAGTGGCTCCCTAGCTATCCCTCCCCTCCCCCTCCCCATTGTGTCTTCAGGCCCTGACTAACATGAGACTTGCTGGGGAAGGAAGTCAGGGTTTCTGGTTTCTTGACTGAGCTACCCCAGCAGGGTAGTTCTGGGGATGTTGAGACGAAGATTAGGGTGGTGGGACCAAAGATCATGGTAAACGCTCAGGGAATTGCGGGCAGATTACGGCAGCAACAGCATGCAGGGACACACTGCCCAGGCACACCTTTCTCCTCCTTCATTTTCCTCAGGACCTTTGGCACATGGCAGTGCCCCTTCCTTCTCACTCCCCCACCCCCAACTCAGTCTTCTTGGGGGCCTGGGGAGGGTCAGGTGGGCACCCAGAATAAGTAGGGCTGAAAACAGAAAGAAAAGTCAAGTTGGATGACTGAAGGGAGAAGAACTATTCGGTGCTCCTCCGGCCCCCAAGAAATACCAATACCAACTTCCGTGACAAGGTTCCCAGAGGAGAGACACACTTGCCCAGCACCTCTGAGAAGCCAAATCTGGGAGAATGGGGGCAGGAGTGGAGTGTTCTCTAACCCCACAGCAAAGACTGTAAGACTGAAACATCATTCAATAAAGTCCTCCTAACCCTGAAAAAAAAAGAAAAAATGCTCTATTATTACTTTATTTACATTGTTATTTAATTAAAATGCCTTTGTTATGAAGTGAATATGTCCTATGGATGTTTGATAAAAGTAAAACACAAGCTGGGGACTCATGAGCTATAGCTTGGAAAGGTGTCCGATCCACAAAATGCCTAGAACTTGGGGTAGTTAACTATAGGGAACCTAAAGTGAGGTACATGTTCTCATGTACCAGCTGCAGATGCTACACATTTATCCTTACAAGCTTCTAAATACTGTTTTCTTCTTTGCCCCTTTCTCCCCCTACCCATCCTTATCATGGAACATTACGATTATATTTGGGATGACCAAATTCTCTAAATAGCATTTTGTCCTCCCACTGATGGTAATGCACGTGAGGAAGCACAAAGTTAATGTCAAATTCTACTCTATATCCAGCAGGAATTTTTTTTTTTAGCTAACTCCTCAGCCTTGAAAATATTGGGCTAGGTCCTGCCCTTTCTTTAGACTTTGCTGAATGACCTGGAAAAATATATGGAAGTCTAACAAAATGTAGTCTTTATGTGACCAAGATTAATAAGTCATCTAGTACTCAAGCCAGGCATCTAGAAAGGAATGTTCCCAGCAACTTACCAAGCGAGTTAGAATTCTAAAGCTTGGAGCCTAAAAAAGAATGAGAAAAATGTAACCTGAATGCCGTAGATTGACCATTACATTTGTTTATAAATTTGTAACTGTGACCCCCTGACAACACGCTGCTGATCTTCTCTGATTGCAAGACATAAAATCAGGGACTGTCTATAGTTAATCTTTAGTCAATGAACCTACACATATGAACAAATAAAATAAAAAAAATCATGTACACATATAAACGTAAGCAAAGTTTATTAGATTATACATGACTAATGTGATAAATGAGTAAATGAATTTTCCAAGCAAGGATATTTTCAAAGTATTTTCCAACTCAAAATATAATAATAATAATCCCAAACATGCTACTCTTTATGTCTTTTATTCTTTATAGGAAACCCCCATTCACTCTGGAAAGCCTGGTCCTAGGTAAGGTAAACACCAGTTCACCACTAAACTATGAGGCAGATAAATGGCATCTACACTGGATTAGCTAAAACCTGACAAATCGAAGAGGTTCCCATCTCTTGAATGCTGGAAAACAGCCAAAACCAATATGTAGACAATGCAGTCTTTAACAACAAAGAGAGTTCACAGAAGTATTTGGTATGAAGAATAGTAACCCTGAAAGTTTCAAAACACAGATAAGATGAATTGATTTTTGTTTCTTGGGATTACCCTTTCAAGCGCTGAAAAAGCGCCTGCCAAGTTGTCTCTAATTGGGCATGCAGTCAACATCGCCACCTACTGGCTGAGTCGAAGAAGGCTATTTGGATCAAGCTTGTGATCTTGGTGGTAGTTATAGCAAGTACTGCAAAAAACAGTAATTAGCTCATTCCAGGTAAGTAAATGTTAACGAATCATGTCTTTTTGAAACTATGCTTTCTTCC